GCTTTGTAACCATGTGCCAAGTAGAGCTTTCCAATTCCGGACATGTAGAGGCGGTAGGAGTAGTTGTGTCAAAGTGGTGGGTGATTGTAGCTGTCGTTTGCGTAACACCTGGGCGAGGAGTTTCTGCGCCTTGGAGCGGAAGGGCTCGTTGACAAAGACGGAGAGCCGCAGAAAGTAGTAAAGCTGAGTAGGAGGGAAAGCTGCCGACAGAAGGTCACGCATGGCTTGGAACGATGCACCTGTATTGGATCCCAGCTGATAGAGAATAGAGTAATGGGCCTGAATGTCATCCAGCATGTCGGGACGTAGTTGCCGTTGAAGATCCGGATGTAGTCGTCGTCGAAAGCGTTTGTGCAAGCCGAGGGAAGTGGGAGACGACAACGAGTGACGTCGAAAATCAACGAGGTGTTCCCGGAAGCCCACCTTTCGCAGAAGTCTGTGTACCCAGGGTGCATTCAAATGCGGGCGTAGCAGGTATTGCCATTTGCTTTCCTGGACCCAAACCGAGGAAACGGGAAGTTTGATCTCAACCGGAACAGCACAGAAGAGCCAGTAAGTATTGGATCGCTTCCAGTAGTGAAGCGCGGGTTCGAAGAAGGCATGACGTCCCCGAAGTAGTTGTAGAAATTTGCGACTGCGTGAGTGTTCACGTCGTAGAACATCCTGATCAGTCGCACCAACGTAGTAAGGTGTGTGCCATGGGGAAAGTCGGATGTAGACGCACGGTTGTTGATGATGACCTGGATCGTGAATGAAGTCATAGAGGTCCGGAAATCGTGCCCGCAATGAGCGAAGATGTCGCGTGTCGGCAAAAGTGGAGTGCATAATTTCACACAAGAGAGAAGCCTTGTAGAAGTGAAGGACTTCAAAGAACGGCGGAAAGTAGCCATGATCTTGGGAAATGAGACGTTGTAAGAAACTGATCAATAAATAGGCAGTGCACCGACATCTATGAATCTCATACCTGTTGGCCACAGTGTGTTGAGAGTGTGACATAGCGTGATTCGGAATCTGAAGGGCAATCCGGACCACAACTAAGACTTCCAGAATGAGGCCCAACCACGGTAGTTGTGTGATTGATTCGTACTCATCAGCTGGTATCGACGGTGGTGGTAGTCCAGGGAAGCAGTATTGCCAGCACGTAGAGAACATGGTCAACGAGTGTAAAAAGTTGCCCAGAGACTGCCATTGTGCAACATCATCATAGATTCCACAGCGGCGAAGCTCATCCAACATGGTGAAAATGCAACCAATGAAATCTACCATAAGGCGGCGACATGGATACAAGCTGCACAGACAATCACGCACAAGGCAATGCAAGCACAACCAAGCACAAGATCAAACTGATGCAACGCAAAAAGATGACGGACGAGTTTTAACCTTGACTCATCCGTGACACGGTTGCCGCTCCGGGCTCATAAGAGAACGAAGGTCGTTAAGATGCCTGCTCATCCGCTGAGTAAGCGAGCGGTCACGATGAGGTGACTCAATGCCTTCTCAGTGAGCTTGGTGAGATAGCCGGGCTCCAGTCCCCACGAAGCCGCCATCGCCCCGAGAGTAGGTGCGTCGCCTTTCGGCATGCGTTGACGCGCTTGAAGGAGCTGCGTCGCCATGGAATCTAATGACTTGTTGCCGTTGAGCCGGGACGGGTGATTGGCCCACTTGACCAGTGACGTCAAAGTTGTGGTTGTGGGCGATTGCTTGAGATAAAGGCGTGGCTGGTCACTGGTCCATGTGTAGTACTTGACAACTTCTTCCGGCGTGCTGTGCATGGTGAGCAATTGTGACGCCGCCGGCTTGGACGGCGGTGAAGACACTCCGTGAAGAGACTGAATGATCCGGGGTTGCACCGCGCTATCAAACGACTTGCCATCAAGGGCCGCTGCGCTGGCTGTAGGGAGGGAGCTGGCAGGTGACGAGGATTGTGTGTGGTTGACCGGTGGCGGTGTAACCAACTCTGCATCATCTTTCTGGCTTGCCATCGTGGGGAGAGGTCGAAGCGCGCAGCGATGCTGAATACTGAGCCTGGAGCAGCTCATGCGCACGATTTAGATCATTGTACTTCTTGACCATGTCATCTGTCTGGGTGGAAGGTGTGAGAGAAGCGTGGTGTTGCTGAAGAAATTGAAGTACCAAGCTGGCCAAATGGTCATGAACCTTGATCCGCTGATTGAAGTCATCGATGTTGAGACCCAGCGAGTTGGCAAGGTCCTTTTCCAGGGTGAGCAGGTTGATCGACTGTGATCGTCGTAGTAGTTTGGAACAGGTACTCCAAAGTAAGGCCTCGGTGCGAGTGCGAAAGCCTTCCCATGTCACGAATCTGCCGTGAGCGAACGGTCGGAGCAGCCAGTTGGTGAGGCCCCCATGAATAACCTGAACCAGGCGAACGTCACGAATATCCATGCCTGACATGTCGCGCAGGTTGCCATGCGGAGTGTTGGCAACGGTCATGGGCAGGCTGAAGTTGTAGAGCTGATTGACATCAAACATGCCCTCTCCAGGTGTCCAGTCAGGCGATGGTGTAAGCCAGGCTTTCTGAGGACGAACCGGTAGAGCCGCAGGAGGTCCAGGTGGCGGTGTAGGTTGCGGGGTAGTGACCGGTGGTGGCATCACGGGTGGCATGAACTTCGTTGGCGTGGGGTCTGGAGGGATCGGCATCATGTAGTTGATTGCTGGATGTTGGAATTGCTGTGTGGGACTATGAGTCGATTGAAAATTGGTGGGCATCATCGGGAAATTGTTGGCAGAGTTGTAGCCGGAATTGTGTTGCCAAGATACCAGGTTGTTCCAATCCATGCCTTCCGAGACGTGGTGGTCATTGTGTTCACGTCGGTGTGCTTTACGAGCCTGAGGAGAAGTACTCCGATCACGTCTGCGCCGAGTCCTGGATCTATCACGATCATCACGTCGAGACATGGTTACACAATCGACTCTCAATCTTCACGCTTCCATCTTGAGAGACAGGTATCAGACAACAAGCAAATCCATGCAACGGCAAGGTATCAACGAATCCAACAAATGGCAAGCAAACGCAAACATCAGTGGTGAGACGTCTCTATGATCTGACCGCTGTCTTCCCTTTAGTGAAACCTCGTTCCTGGTTAAATGTGAAATTCCGCTGTTCTATGATAAGCACGTTGAGGTCAAATTTTCCGACAGAGCCGGCCCGGGGTCACACAATGGGTACACCCGAGGATTCCCCACGAATGGGGTGTACACACTTAAACTCCAAATGGAGAGTGCTAATCTTTCGAGTACAACTGATGAGTCTCGAGTACAACTGATAAGTCTCGAGTATGATGAGGTTCGACTCGCATAACGCTTGGCTTCCCTGTAGTTACTTTAACAGGGACACACAGAAGCAACGGCAGTTCAGGGGGACCAAAAGGACATTCAGAACAACACAACCATCTCGGCAGGTACGTCTGACTGATCAGGTCAGATATCAGCGCAGGTCACGACCCTCTTCGTTGGGTCACCGGTCGTGACTGCGGGTGACCCCCCTGCTGAGAAACCGAAAGGGTGGTGACAGGGCATTCTGTCACTCCGCACACACACACACACACACACACACACACACACACACACACACACACACACACACACACACACACACACACACACACACACACGCGCACGCACGCACGCACGCACGCACGCACGCACGCACGCACGCACGCACGCACGCACGCACGCACGCACGCACGCACGCACGCACGCCCGCGCGCACGCACTCACACAGACACCCACACCTCCACACACGCACACACGCACACGCGCAGAACAAGCATACACACACACAAACCCACGCACGGACAGAAGCACGCATGCACGCCTTTGCATTCACACACACCACCAACAACGTGCACACACAAAGTCCAGCGTTATTCTGCTCGAAACAAAGCAGGCAACGCCTCATGCAGCAATGCATTTGTCCAGTCTCCCAATGTCTGACCAAGTTTTCTCCCTACGTCCTTAGCTCGTACAAATGAACATTTAATATTGAATCGTCTGAGGAAATTGATGTTCGATGTTCAATCCAGGAGCTTCACCCCTCAGATGTTGCAAAGCATTTTCCTGGGATTGGCTCCTTCCTTGAAGTATTCCTTAGCTTTGGCATCTGCAAAGCTGTGGGTTTGTCCGTTTGTATGTGTGTGGTCGCGCCTGTTTTGAGCCATTGTCCACAGCACTCTTTCATATCACCCCTGAAGCTTCCTGCACCAATGAGGAAACACTACTGCCCACATACCAGACCAGCAATCGTGATGCAACAACAACAAACAAATCCACTGTTCCCAAGTTCGCGGGTCATGACCATGTTTCGGTTGGCTCCCACTTCCTACAAGCAAGCTTGCAAAGTCAGCAATCCAATGTGTGACAAGCTCAGGATAATTTATATACATATATATATATATGTAAGTAGCAAACAAAAAACACTTTACTAAACTCAATGCCATGGGAAGTTGGGCGGTCCCCTATCGGTGTTCAGCGGTTTGAGGTTCAAAGGGGGTATCGGTTTTGGTCGCCTATTGTCGAATTTGCTCACCCCAAGGAGCCTCGAATAATTACAGTGGAACGCTACCGATGATTTTAGTGCATACTCATCTATTGTTGTATTATCATATATATATATATATTAGTTTATACATGTGTGAAACGTATCTGCCAACACAGAACACAGCGTACACACAATTCTCCCAGCATGCTTGCCTTTGCGAATGTTTAATTGGGCCCGCCCTGTTTCACCTTCTGGTTTTCGGCACCCAAAAACGAGCACCTGGGGAACCTTCACCATTTGGTTTATGTGTCCAAAAACGGAACAGCTAGCAAAGGAACAAAAGATAACAAAAGAACCACCAGTTCCCTTGGCTGCCCTCAGATCCCCTGCTAAAAGTTTAACTTTTGGTGGGTTAAATGGAAACTACCACTATACCCTAAAAGCCTAGAAAGCTAAGGAACCAAACGGCTGAGGGCCACCAAGTTCTCCAAGTCCATGTTCAGGCCTCGTCCATCTTTTTTGGGCTGCTGCTGAAGGAAGAAGGACTCTCCACCTCCTGCGCATGATTTGCGACGCGCTGAAGATGTCTGAAGTGCAATGAAATGGCCATGGGTCAAAACCCCGTACCCCCAGTGAACATCCGATTCAATCCCCACTAAAATAGACTAAAATGGGTGGTGAATTCACCTACCCCAAAATGGTACCGTTGGTTTTGACCCACAGCCAAATGGTCTGGCGATTGATGTTCCATCTCAGTCAACCGTCCTTCAGCAGGCCCTTGTCCCTTGGACTTTTGTGGTTTTCTGAAAAGAATGGAAGCGTAGATACAGAATGACACACAGCGAAGGGATCGGACGGACAGCAACTTCACAATACGTGGCCTGCGCATGACGAAACCCAGGTGCCTCTAGAATCACCAGATTGTTTCAACATCTCTAGCTACCAAGTCTTTTCTGGTTCAATTTCATAGGACTCTTAGTCATGCTTGCTACGTGCTTGTGGACAATCAGTGCCAACAAGTCGGAAGGGTCTGCATTCCTTGCACGTGTGTGCTTCACATTTTGGCCGAACTCCGGTAGTAGCCATGCTCCGTCTCACGTGCACATCGATCGGTTGACACAAAAAGAAACGTGTCCTAGCTGACCAACACAAATAATTAGCAAGTATGTATATATATATATATTATACACGGATAAAGACACGCCATGAGGCACCCCTGTGATCATATTTGCTGTGACTTCCAAACTGTTCAGACTTTTCATATTTTTAGATATTTCATTCATATATCCTCATCCCGAGACCAGTCCTCCGGCGCCGACTTCATGAAGAGGCCTCGCACATCCTGGAGTGCAAGTTGGTTAGAAACTTGGGGGGTTCAAGGCCTTGACTTTTGCTTTAGGTTTCACCTCCAAGTGAATAACGGCAACATACAAAAGCCGACAGATTGAAGGTTTCGGTTCGACAACTCTGCCGCTGCCTCTCAGGCCCAAGATGGACCGTTGGCACTGTGTTAAACGCCCTTCCCCATCCTCACAGTGATGTCATTGTCAGTTGCTTCTGTTTTAACTGGATTAGTGGCATTTCAGTCGTGATGTATGGCTCCATCCCGTGCAACCTTCATAATGAACATTCAAGGGAACCTTAGGCTTCCATTTGCTTACCCCTGGAAACACTAATTCGGTAGTGATAGATTCCGTGGAAAAAAACATTGATTGAAAAAAACAACTCTCATTCAGCCAATGGAAGTCGGGTATCCTGGGGTTCAAAAATGCGGTCTCTCAGCGTGTGGCCTCTGCGGCCAGGCGCTGAAGCCGGTCGTTGGCCTTCTGCAGCTGCGGGCCCAAGGCCTCCAAAGTCACCGCGCAGAAGTCGCCTCGAGTTGGCTGTGGGTCAAAAATTGGTGCCCAAGATGGGACCCTGGTAAATGGAACCAAGGACGATTCAACCTGCGGTCCAATTCCTGGTGGATTAACTTTGGCCCATACCCAGTTGGGCACAGGTGGGCGAGTTACCACGCGGGCGGCGGTGTTCCCGAGTTCCCCTTCGACATTTTGGCAACCCAGTGGTGGGCTTTTCAACAAATGTGCAACTTTCGGAGATCAGCAACAAGAAATTCAGGCAACTCGAACTGGAGGCACAGAAGGCGTCGGCTTTCCCAATTTCCCAACTTCAACATTTGCAATATCTAGTGGCGAGTTCCAAAAAATGTGCAACTTTCGGAGATCAACAAGAAATTGTTCAGGATTCCTGCGGTAGGCAACCAGCCAAGGTTACTTTGCGCGGTTAGAGGGTGGCTCCATCGGTTGGCTACACGGGTACATGGCAAGCAGAATCATCGGTGCACTTGGAATAAGGGTCATTCAGCGCCAAGCCATGCCACGGCAAAGCAAAGCAACTGGATCATTGGGCAGGGGGCCCTCACATGAAGTGTTTCCAATGAACCTGAGGCTCAATTGACCATTAAACAAAATGCCAAACACAGTGGAGCGGAAAAACATACAAACAAAAACTGGTCAGCTGGCTGTTTGCTGATTGGACAGCCCCAAACACATTCCTTGTGGCTTTTCATCCAACTCCCCTGTTACTGACCCCATTGTCCTTGATTGGTCAGCATGGTTCTTCTAAGGCAACTCACGCTCCCAGAGGGGCTCAGCAGTTCTCTTGTTGCTGCCTTTTGGCATTGCAAAGGCTTCTTTGGGCATGCTTCAATCTGCTTTGGGCATTCTTCAGGTTTCTTCGGATTTGTTTCAGGCTTCAGACTTCCTTAAGCATGCATGTTCTATCTTATGATGGCATAGGGCAAGCTTTTGGATGCATCTCCGTATGGAGCCGTTGGGTCGTAATCAGGCTGATTTTCATGTTGACATCCTTTAGATTTACTCTGGCATCCTTTAGGCTTCATTGAGCCTTTTGTTTATCTTCTTTAGCCTCAGTCAGGCTTGCTTGGCGAATTATCATGCATGCTTCTTAGGTTCTTCAGGCCTATGTGTGCATTCTCAGTACGTGTTCAGGAACACCCTGGTATTGCGTACGGACCTTCTTGGGTCTTAGGCTTTGAGTTTCAGAAAACTCTCCTGGTGTCCGAGTTCCAAGAGTTCTCTTGGCCATCTGGAGTAGTCCAAACACAATTCTCAGGTTCTGCTTCACATTTCCCACCAACAAACTTGAAAGTGCATAGGTGTCTTTCTGAAAAACTATTTGTTTCTGGAACGGTTTGTTTGTACACTTCCATGTTGGTTGGTAGGCTGGCTACCTACCCTAAAATCTCACATATGCTTTCCGGCCACCCCACATCGCCCCCAATATACCCCCTCCCGCCCCCGCCCCGCCCCTCTGACCGCGTCTGAAGACCGAAGACCGAAGGCCGAAGGCCGAGACGCGGAGCCCGGCGAGCCACAGCAGCGCATTCAGCTGGTCGCTGCTCTTCACCTTCGCCACGGGGTCCAAACACTGCGGGCAGCTGGGCTCCTGCACATCTTCCCAAAGATGCGAACAAAAACGTGGGCCTGGGATGCCCGTTTTCGGATCCCCCGCTAAAAGTGACTAACTTTTAGTGGGTTAAATGGAAACTAACACTAAACACTCAAAAACTGAAAGGCTGAAGGGGATGGCTGGGAGCCACCAAGAGACGTGTTTTATTGTTCTTTGTTTTCACGTTTTTACTCCCACAAAACACCAGACACAACAGTGTGTTTGTTACTGGTTGCGCCCACAAAACACCAGACACAACAGTGTATTGTTCAGTCCTTGCTTGTGTGTTTCGCTTGTTTTGGTCCCACAAAACACCAGACAACCCGTCAACAGTTGGAAGGGAAAGCAAGAGAAAGCAACGGCAAAATGACGAGCATGCAAGGGTCAACAAGTCGGGAAAGGAAAAGGAAGCACATGTTTCAATGAATCGATCGCCTGTTCCACCCAATCACACAACTGTCCAGTATCCAACAATCGGCCAACGCCATCCGACCGGGAAGACAACAATTGTTCATGAGTTCTGAGAAGCCAGGAAATTCTACAGGACCTTCACAAATATATATATATATAAATAATAATATACAGGCCACCAATTGTTTGTATATACATAATATATTTATATGTATATGGTAGGCCCCGCCAAAGCCTACCTTTTCCAATGTATATATATATATACATACATGTATCCGTAATACATGTTGATTTTCAGGACCTCCCAAAAGTGGTGGTTGTCCTTTTGGCCTTTCGTTAAAACCACCAACAAGGGGATATACGCACTCTTCCCTACGTGTGTCGACACTTTTGGAACGGAGGCCTGTGCACTTCCAAGTTGCTTGCTGGAAGGGCAGCAATGAAGGTCAAATGCTGTAGATGGTACACGTCTGTTGTCGTTACTCTGTGCATGGGGCGTCCATGGCCGTATCAGCAAACAGAGTGCGCCCTCATATCTCATTGCGCATCTATCTTTGTAGCCGTGTTACTTCCCCCTGGCTTCAGCAAAACCAAGCGCTGAATTTGAAGAATTAACTACTCATTCCACAATCCTAAAGCAAAGCCCACATACCAGCCTTTTCCCTGTCTGGGTGTTCCTTGTCTCAAAATAGCTGCACCGTTTGGTGCCCTGTTTGCCTCAAGCTAAGCAAGAAGAGATTTACCATCAAAAAAAAGCCAAGCCGTGTGAGTTTGGGGTCCATCGGTGTGATGGGGACCCTAAAAAAGAGATGTTTCCACCCCGCGGATCCACCTGCTCCACACATCTGGCATGGAAGCCTGAGCGCTTTCAACCAAGTCACGGCCGAAGCAACAATGGGAGAAACCCGAAGGACATGTAGCCCCAACATGCCCCCGCATGCCGTGTGGGCAACCCCTCCATCCAGGTGATCAATCATCTTTCTCAAAGGAGATTTTGCTGGCTCGGTTCCACCTCGCGTCCACGTGTCCCGGAGTGGTGGATTCACGAAGAAGAGTTCCCCACAAAATCTCAGCATGGATGCCCCGATTAAGGACCAACAAAAACACGTAACCCTTTCATTGCTCCCAGCCGTGAGAAAAGGACCACTTGACTATCGCGGGCCTGCCGTGGCCTCAACCAACGTAAGGAAATATATACCATCAACAAAAACAACCACCATGTTTTCGCGTAATTTGCCAACATATGCCACTAGTGTTGGCAAAGCAGCTGCTGCAATCAGTTTCAGGATTCTCCATCGTCTGACCCAGCATCTCACATGAGATCTCACAACCCTTCTGCCGCTGTCTCGCAAGATGTTGTGCTTAGTTTGTGGTCCATACTTTGCCAGATTTGCACATGCCGCACATTGGAAAAAGGGACATCAGTTGAGCAGAGTTGTTTTGGAAGGGTCATGCTGATGACGTATCAAAAGCCTACGCCGACGCCTAAACCATGCGCAAATACGAAGCGGGATGGCCTAGGCGAGGTGTATGTCAGCCTTGAAAAGCCTACCCGAGCCTACGCGGTGTGTGTTTCGTGCTAAAACTTGTACGTGCGCCTACTGGCAACCTGTCAAGTCAAGCGTACGCGGGGCCTATGCGAGAAGCTCCCCAGCCGACTGTCAAGAAGTGGCTACGCGCGCCTACGCGCGTGAAGCAATATGCCTACGCGGGGCCTTCTATGTCCACTCTCCTTTGCCCCTTTACTACCGCTAAAAACAAAAGAAGAAGAAAACAACTCTGCTCAATTGGTCACCCCCCCCCCAACACACACTTTCATTGTTTCCACAAGCCCGGCTACCCTGCATTTGTGCACTTCCCCCCAGTCAACGAGGTTGCTCAGCAAAAGGATGTGTGGGGAACTCATCAAACCAACAACAAACATGTGCACATTCCCCCAGGCGTTCCTCTTGCAACCCTTCCACATGTTGCGCCATCTGATGTCGTTCGGATTTTGATGGATTAGGTCGATCTCTGTTCCTGGTGGCTCACAGTCCTCTAAAGCTAATTTTGTACAAGTGAATCATGGATCGCCAGTGGAATAAATTCTCGATTAAATTATGGGGGCAGCCGTGGTTGAAAAAGCCCCCGTCCATAGACATGACTGAGGGCGTGGGGATAGGAACCCTCAATGACCACTACCCTGAAAACAAGGCGGTTGCAAAATAGACACCTCAAGTTTCTATCATACGGGTACTCCCCCCCCCCACCCTTCCATCCCCCGACTGTAGACCCCAAGCCGCCCCCCCCCCCCTCCCCGTGCATTTCCAGAAGCTTACACCAAGCTCAGCTACTGGCTCCATTCTACTCTCTATTCAATAGTCTTACAAAGGGCTTGTTGCACTGTCCGGAACAGTCCAACACCCCCCCCCCACCCCCCAAACGCCCCATCCGTTTCGGCCGGAAGGCAATGGAAGCGGCTGCAGCGCCGCAAATCCTCGCGCCCGAAGGACAAGGCCTCCCCGCAGCCGGGGCAAACCAAGGCGCTGCACATCTGCTTCCGCAGGCCTTCCTCGCAGCGAAAAACTCAACTTGAGTCATCACCCGGCACCAGAATGGTTGACCCAGAAACGTGTAAGGAAATTGAAAGGCGTTGTCCCCTACTAACCATTCTCTACCCGGGCTTTGAGCAAGTGGCTCACTTCCTCAGTCAAAACCTGGAAACAACAATTGGTGTCTCTTATTGTACTGGACCCCCCAACATGGTAGTTTTCAAACCCAAAAATTGCGTCTCTCTGTTGTTATTGGACTCCGCAACATGGTGGTTTCCTTTTTGAGTCACAATCAAAACCCTGCATTAAAATGGTTGGCCCAGAACCCGGTAAGGAAATTGAAAGGCGGCCGCAACTACTTATGGCTGGGATTGTCCCCTACTAACCTTCATCAACCCTGGTTTTGAAAACCTGGAGACAACAAATTGGTATGACTCTTGTTTTTAGCGGACCCCCCAACATGGTGGTATTCCTTTTCAAAACTTGCAAACTCCAAAACCATTGACAGAAACAAAATGGCGGCCGCACCTTTTATGGCTGTCCTTTTCAAAGGATCTCTAGGTTCAACAAAGCTGCCATGGATAGAACAAAGTTCAGTCACACCTCACACATTGTACTAACAAACAACTGCTGAAGCAAGACACTGACGGAAAAGCAAAATACAGAAAAGACAAGAAACACAGAAACAAACTGGGATACTCAGGAGGAGGTGAAGTGCGGGTTCTTCACTCAGTTGCCCTTTGACAACCTTCAACACCCCCCCCCTCCCGGGGAAACATGACATGTCGCTGCAGAAGAAAGGCAACAACCAAATGCCAGAAAAAGTATCCTGGCTGGAAGCCCACTTGCCGCTACCTCCGCGCAGGATCTTCTGGTGGATTCCATTAGTGGGAGGGCAATATAAGAGGGTACTACTTACGCACACTACTATCTCATTGTGCCTTTTGGTTTTGAGTCCCCCACAGCCTCATTCCACTTATCTTCATTTCTGCTAAGGGGATAGTGAAACCAGCTTGGGCCCCACAGCCCCTGCCACCTATCTTCCACTTGGGTGGAAAACCCTTAATTTGATCCCATGTTCATTGAGTTAACTGGGTTCATCTAGTTAGCCCCTGAGTTTGACAGTCCAAGCCACCAGATACTCCATGGACCTCTGGATCTCGTCGATCTTCTCCTTCACCAGCTTCCTTACCCGACGGCCCGAGCCCCAGCCCAGAGGTTCTCTCGGTTCTAGCGGGATATCCAGGAAACCGAACTGGAGAGGTCAAGAATTTGGAGACATATCCACGTGCGCCATATGGTCAAAACTCCGAAGATTAACCTTGATTCCCTGAATAGGAATCTGGTTGCCGAGAACGCCTACAGTAGATGGGTCTGTTGACCAAATTAGCACGCATAAGAATCCGCTTTGAAGGCAAACCAAAACGGAAGCAATTACTTGTCAGACACACCTCCAGATTGGGGAACCAAACTTGCAATTGGATGCAGATCCTACAAGGGCTTCCCATGGAACACAAAGACAACAACCCGAACGACACGTTGGATAGGGAAACACAAAAACAAGTTACTTCGCCAGCAGATCCAGTTGGCCAATGGGCGTGGCTTTGTCTTGCTGCGCTGCTGCAGACAAGCACAAGTCATGAAGGTTCGACTTCTCTCTGGATCGTTTTTCGCTTCCAATGTGCCGTTGCGAGTTCTCCGTAGTGCCTTTTGGCTCCTTTGGGACAGTGAAACAAATCGAAGTAAAGTGGATATCCACTTCACTTAATTTTGGTTGGGTGCACGAATAAAGTCAGGTGTCACTATACTGTTGGCGGTCGTACAATTTACTTAGATTTGTTTCAGCCAGTTGGGTGCAGGGAAAAGTCAGTCACCAACTCTTGGTGGTTATCCACTTTACTTGGATTTGCTTCAACCAGTTGGGTGCAGGAAAACGTGAGGTGTCACCAAATTTCTCACTCTTGGTGGTCGACCACCGAGAGTGGGACCCGACTTTCTTTCTCCCTGCACCCAACTGGTTGAAACAATTCTAAGTAAAGTGGATGGTGACACCTGACTTTTTCTCTGCACCCAACTTGTTGAAACAAATCTAAGTAAAGTGGATGACCACCAAGAGTGACACCTGACTTGTTCCCTGCGCCCAACTGGTTTCTCCTCCTTGCGTTTTCGACCACTTCGTCTGATTGGCGACATTTTAAGAGGATCCCCTCCACAAACTTCCATTTGCTTAAGCCCGCTGGAAGAAAAAACAAAATCCAGCAGTGATGGACTCCCTAAAAAGAAGTGGGAACATAAACAAACAAACAATCTTAAGCAATTAGAAGCAGCAAGTTTTGGACCACTTCGTCTGATTGGCGCCATGTTGAGAGGATCCCCTCCACCAAAAGTCGCGTTCAAAAACCCGGCCGAGCCGCTGCATAGGCTTCAGGGTGGACCATCCGTGCACCGCCACCCCCACCGCCAGGCCGGCGCCCACGCCGCCCAGCAGCCGCCCGGCCAATGCCACGCCCTCGGCCCCCGCCTCTCGAGTAACAGCGGGCGCTGGGCTCGGAAACCGAGGAAACCCAGGAACATGGGGAGACCTGGACTCGTTGCTTTTTGCGAAGCCTTTTTTTTCTCTTTTAGTGGTTTCGCTAAATTTGTGGGCTAAATTTTGGAGGTTTGATGTTGCACTGGAGGTTTGATGTAGCTCAACGCCCTAAATTTGGAACCACCTGGCTGTGGTTGTCAAAACCCCTTACAACATCTAAGCTGGGTGGCGCCCCTGCTTGAGAGCGTAGCTTTAGTTCCCCAAAAAGGGACCAACTAGCTGGCTCCTTGTCATATGGCTGTGGGTCGAAACCCTGTACGCTTGGTGAACATCAAAGGTGGCAGGGTGTTTCATCCGCCCCAAAATGGGATCGGCATAGGTTTTGACCCAGGGCCACCTGGAGTTATTTTTTACTCGCTGGCTTTCCGCTCCCCGGCTGAAAGTTGTTTTTTAACTCTTGGTGGTTTCAATCAGAAAAAAACCGGAAAAGTTGGCAAAAAGTTGAGGTCCTGACATCCCTTGGCAAAATGCAAAGTAGAGTTGGAGTGGACTTGGAGTTGGGAGGGGTGGATGAATGGGTGGAGTTGTGGGGGGGGAGGTCAGAGCTCGCCCGCAAACCTGGACATCGAGGATGAACCGACCAGGTTGCCAAGAAGAAACACTCGGAAAAGGCAGGGGACACACGGAGTGGACCCAGTTTTTGTTTACCCAAAATTGCGCGATTGACAATTTGGTGCTTCACCTTTTGCCTTATGGGTCCAAAAAGCAGGTCAGGGGTCGACAAAACAGAGTCCTCGACAAGAAAGTAAAGAACCATGTTGAAAAACACAGAACACAAAGGAGACACACCCAAACACATCGGATACGCAACCAGGAGCATTCCTGAAAAAAAGGAGGGAAGCCCTAACAGAAGCAGGCGAAACTCCTAACCCGGAGGAAATCCCACACCGAATCGGGTCCTGTTTTTGGTTTCCCACCAGCGGAAGACTTAATCAGCAAATGACATCAACCAGTACCTCGAACTTGCAAGAACTATGAGTTTGACTCATAGGTGGGGGGGGGGGGGCAAGGAGGTCCTGCCCGTAACTCCATATGCCGAATTCACGGCTGGTGTTTTGGTGTTTTGTAAGGGAGGTATGGATGGGCGAAATCCATTTCGCATCACTTTGGAATCATGTGAAACCATCACGATTGTCGGTATTGGCAGGGGAATCGAATCATTCCAGGGTTCTTTAGGTAGTGCAGGATTTCGCTCATCCACAGTATGATTGGAGGGAGTCTCTGGAATTTCTGTCCCACTCCCACATCACACCCGGCACGGGGTCCCTGCAAGAAATCGATCTCCCAGGTACCTCCCGGGTTCTATGTTTCATGAGGAAGGGTAACAGTTTGCACTTGCCTTTCAGGCTTTCCTCGAACAGGTTTCAGGCTTGGGTTTTGAAGTAAGATCAAATAAATACACCTGGAGGCAGCTTGTTTCTTCCCAATCAGGCTGTCTGCCAAAAGCAAGCATCGCCAACTCAACAGGCAAGAGAAGGGTGTCAAAAAGGCCCGGTCTGCGAAATACGGTATCCAGTATCCCGCCTGGCTCAGCGCGATGTACTTGGCCGAACGCACCAGCACCAAATTCCTCAGGCCATCTTGGGCTAAGGCTCCTTGAGGATTTTTCGCGGGGCTCGCTATGTATCTGGTCAACCTCTCCCATGTGCTGTTATTCCACGTGGTTTTCCTTGCAAATTTCAAATAACCAAGCAGAAGAGATTACTTCAAGTAGCAAATCGGACATGCTGACCAATTTTTTTTTGGGGATAGGATTGGCCTCTTAAGGCAATGGGATGTTGCAAGGTTGATCCTATATTCTGCCCTGTTTTGGGCGATTTCTGCAAACACGGGTCCCTGGAACAATCGGGAACTACAGGTTGAATGCTACGCTTACTCAAGGATGTTTCTTTTCTTTACTTGCGCAGTACCGATAGAGAATCAACTCAGTCCGGGCACCAGGTCGCGAGAGGTGACAAACTGCTGCTTTGGACGCAGCCTCGTGTTCGAGCACTGGCTAGCACAAAACAATTTGTCCGCACTCAATTACTTTGTTCTCCACAGGCACCAATTATGAATGAGGGGTAAGTATTGTTGCTGCGGGGAACAGATTACATCAGCGTCATGCACTGGAGGTGGGCCCCTTTTCTTTCTCAAAGTGAAATAGTGGTGCATCACTCATTTGGGGTCACTTGAAAGCAATCAATCTGGATGGGTCTTACTTAAAGCCATAGCAATCACAGCCGTTTGTCATAGCAAACCTCATCAAGCTCATGTCAGATGGGTGTGCCCTGAAAGCCACATCTGCGAGAAGGGAAGAAGGACCCAGATCCAACTGGGACAATCGGGAACCTCCTCAAACTCTCACTGCCTTAAACGAGCTGGACATGACAGGCAATGACATGTTGGGTTGGCATGACTAAACAAATACAACAACTAAATTTAAATAGAGTGAACGGTTATGTCATCGCGGTTCGCGTTCGACGACTGAGGCCGCACTGAGGCTACGCGAACAACCGCCTATGTTCAGAGCAATCTCCTTTTGAGGGACCCAGTGCTGATGCTCTTCTGTCAATTTTGAATGCTTTCTGCCAGTGGCCCAATTTTTGCTCGAGGTGCCTCAATCTCACAGGAAACACAATTCTATGCGGCAAAAGGGTTTTGCTTGCTACGGGTTGGCGGCAAAACGCACATACTCCCCCAAACATCCCAGTGTAACGGTCAAACCAAACATGACGACTTGCTTTCCCCCCTGTTTGTCAAACACGTTCCATGGACAATTGAGCCATGTTTGGTCAGGTGATAGCCTCCTACCGTCAACAGGTGGGTATTCTCAGTCCGTAAGCTGGAAGCCCCCGCGTCCGCATCCGAGGCGCGCCGTCTGGGCGTACGCCGCGAGGGCCGCCGCCTTGGGCGCGGTCTGGCGCTGCTTGGCGGCCGCCGCCGCGCGGGCGAGGACGCAGCGCAACTCCGACTCCACGGACTCGAAGGCGAGCCTCGACATCGGCTCGATGGCATGGATTCTGGGCTGCCCGTTTTCGGATCCGCCAACAGTGAATAACTCCCGGTGCTGGGCAGCCGGCAAGCTGCTTAGCAAACTAACAAATGCAAAGCCACACTGGGTTTTTGAGGGTCAACCCCTCAATCCGTAGTGGGTTTCGAGAATGCAACAAAACACCGAGCTTTTGAGGGTCGACCCCATAAAGCCCGTTCACGATTGGGTGCTGCTCAACTGGAAAATGCAGAAAAGAGGGTTTTTGGACTTCTGACCCCACGGCTATCCACAGAAGGTTCACCGTTTGATGGTTGCGCATGGGAATCATGCAACAAACACAACGACCTTCTGTTGGTCGGGACCTGAAAAACACAAAACACAAAGTTATTGTTGAAGATCGACCCCTCAACGTTTGAAGAATGTGAAACAGTGCGAGCGGCCATTGCAATGCACAAACAAGCAAACACAAGCAACATACAGACCTTTCTCTTGCTGCCAAATAGCCGGTCGGGAAAAGTTGATAATTATCCGTCATCCATCACTCTTAGGAGAAATGAACCATCAAGGCTGTTTTGCTCGTGCTTGCCCTTCAAATCAGGGTAAACAGGGTACCCTCACTAGGTTCTCCAGTAGAGAGGATAGAATAAGGGTACCTTTTTTTTCTTTCTGTAGTCTATTTTAGTAGGGGAACCCTCCCCAAAAAAAGGGTAAAAGGGCAATACTGGGGGACCTAGCTCAAACGAAAATCGCGCACCCACCTGGGGTGAGTTCACCTCCAACCGAAGCGCTGCTCTGTGGAGTCCACCTCCATGAGCTTGGCAAGGCTCCGGCCCTTGTCCTCGGTGAGATCAGGTAAAATACTTCCTCGCTGTTGACCCCTCCGCCCAACAACATGTGCACCCTCCCACCAGCTAACATGGAAGTGCACAGACCCCTGTGGAAAGACCACTTTCCTCTTGGATTCCTCTTGGAAAGGGCCGTTTTGCACTTCCTGTTAGTTGGTGGGAGGGTAGATCCGTTCTTTGTTTATGGTGTTGACTGGGAAACCAAAAGGCAGCCACTTGGTTGTGGTCTGCAGAAAGTTTTGAGGGTCCAAAGGACAATCCCACCTGGTTCAACCAAAAACCTGAAGTCCACAGATCTAATAACCAAATAGCCAAGAAGGATAGGAAACCAAAACGAGTTGGTTTCCCTTCAGGGACCAGGGCGTACCTCAAGCCCCTATCAACAGGCTTCTCACAAAGTGTCCTTGTTCCGAAGTGGGTTGCTCTAAATGGGCGTGGGATTTCTGATCCTCGTCCATAATCTGTCGTGGGGCAGCATTGCTACCAGGCTGCGACTTGCCTAAATCCGGTCTGTATTCATCAGCATATCGGCTGTTGAGGTCATTCTCCCAGACTCTGAGACTTCACATCTCGTCCAGGGCCCCACCCCAAGGGGCCAACCCCAAGACCTACTTATTCGGCTGCCTTTCTCTTTGTAGCTCGCCCTGACGACTTTTTCTTGGGTCCCAGGAGTCATAAGGGCGAAGGGGGGGGGGGGGTGGGCGGGGTGCTTCTGAGTGTGTTTCCAAATAAGGACCCCCAAAAAAATGGCGGGCTTCCCCCTTCAAACCCGGCCAAAAAGCTCGAAAAAGAGCCCCCTACTAACAAACTGGAGCTATCATTGAACTGGAGTCCGGAGTTGACTTGTTTTCTGGCTCTAACACAAGGACTTTTTGATGGGACACAGTTCGATGGGAAGCCTTTGAACAAAAAAACACCTGGAACTTTGGAACCACAAATGGAATTCCAGACTTCACCCCCCTCCCCCACTTCCATTTTTAACAAATTGAGCTGGAAAAAAACCGCATTAAAACTCTTATCCCAGGAAGTTTTCATTGCAAATCCAAGCGGCGGTCTTCATAAGAGTGAGGTCCCCCAAAAACATGCCCCTTAAGTGTATGAGGTCTCAGGTGTGTACACCGCTGCAAATTGTTGCTGGCTGCTGCTGCTGCTGGCTGCTGCTGCTGCTGCTGCTGGCTGCTGCTGCGGCTGCTGCTGCTGCGGCTGCTGCTGCTGGCTGCTGCTGCTGCTGCTGCTGCTGGCTGCTGCTGCTGCTGCTGGCTGCTGCTGCAACTCATTGCTGGGATCTGCAGAAACAAAGAAAATGCAAACTACAGAAATGGGCCACTCCTGATCCAAGGCATCTACGACTTGCGCGCGACTTGCGCGAAAATTTAGCAATCTTCCGGATTCTTTCGACCATGCGGATGATGATGATGATGATGATGATGATGATGATGATGATGATGATGATGATGATGATGATGATGATGATGATGATGATGATGATGAATCACTGCGTCACTTGCGCTTCACTTGCGCTTTACTTGCGCGGCCCCATGTTTGACTTGCGCGGCCGCTCCTGCCACACACTCCTGCCATTCAAATTACAAGCGGCGGTGCAGCTAATTTGATAGGTTCAAAAGACCTGGGATCATACCCACAACGTGCTGACATACAACGTTTCGACTAAAAGGGATCCCTCAAACCAAAGGACTCCTCCCCCCCCCCCACCGCCCCACAGCCCTGGCTCCAAGGCGCCGCCTCCGCCACGGCGTCCCCGGTGCGGCTGCCGAGGCCCATGGCGGCGCTGGAGGCGCCCAGCGCCACGCCCATGGGCGGCGCCACGAAGAGCGAGCCGAAGGAGGCCACCTGCGGAGGCCGCCTTCGCAAACCCACGTTGTGGTCGGTACATGATATTGTATATATAAGGTGTGTATATTTATTATAAGGTGTATATATAAGGTATATTTATATATGTATATACATGTATCTATATTCATTTATCTATATATTATATATATGCAGATATATGCGAGCCAACTCCCCACCCAGCTGAAACCCGGAAACTAACCCATCCTCAACCCATAACCAGCCCTCAATGGGGTACCATGACCACGAGGGGGGGGGGGGTTGCAACATATTTGCAAATATGTGAACGCAGGCATATACAGTATACATGTTTGCTGACAAGGGCCCTATGTTGTAAGGGAGTCAGTGAGTGCAAAGGGCTTCCCTGGTTCTGTGCCTAAATTTCATTGATACTCATACCTATAGTACATACTGGCCAAAGCTTGTCTTCCAGGAGGTCTCACAGGTTCTCAACATTCCTGTGTGCGAATTTCCTGTCAGTCACCATCGGGGTAGTTGTCAAGATGCCACTTCAATAGACCCCTAAACAAAAACGAGGAAAATATTGCGAAGCCGAAATGCGATGTGATCACATTCATATTCAGGGTTGCTCCTGGAAGACTACGTTGGTAGCTCTTTTGGGATACTGCCACTTGGAATTTGGTAACCCACAAAAAGAAGCAGCTGCTAAGAAACTTTCCTTGTGCCACCAAATACAGTCATGACCATTCTTGGAAACCAACAAGGAACAAAACAAAAAGTCGCCTGAAGCAGCCAAATGTCGCTTCGACCTTTTCTAGCTGGTGATGCAAGTCGATCCATCGTGTTTTCCTTTGACTCAAAGTTGCAGATCTAGGGGGTTATTTGTCGCCTGAGACGTCAGCCAGCGTTGCCAGCAGCAACCGATCCTGCAAGCAAAACCCACACCTGAAGTAAACATGAGCTGCTCGGGTGCACCCCAGATTCATAGGGAATGGCTCCCCCCAAGTTTCGGATCATCTCCTAAAAATGGCATTAGCCCACATCAAATCCACCGGTCATCCATCCTGGTTGCAATAAGATCCCAGAAGCTTACTTGGGCACCTTCTTGGAGAACTCAAGCTCGATTTTCACCCGCAAACTCCGTCCATCTTTCCAAGAACCCTGAATGAAAATTATACACTGGTCAATGCTCATTGACTTCAGACACCAAAAGGAGCATCCTCCAAACAACATGTCCATTGCTCGTTGTTAGCATCTTGTCGAGAGAGCCTCTTCGCTTGCGACCGACATGAACACCACTGCAGGTTCGATCCAAGGCGCTGCGAGGCCTGCCGCCACGGTGTTCCCGGAGTTCACCTCGGGGACCCTTTTGAGAGAGGGTGAAATCAAATCCAAGTTGCTAGGCAACAAAGAGGCGGTTTCACCCAGCCACAAAACAAAAAGTGGTTTCCTTTGGGCTGAAAAAGTGGATTGAATGGTCAAGAAACAATCATGGAAGACCAGGTTAGTTTTGAAGAGGATGGTCGTCTTCCAAAACCCGCCGGTTCACTTCACCGATCATTGGACAAGGGGTAAAATCGGTGAACAACCCATGGACTCGCACGGAAAGCGGACTGGAATTGCGCGGCTGCCCTATGCTGTGTCCCCCTACATTCCAGGAACCCCCCTAGAAAATGGTTGGTCCCGACGCTCACGAAGCAGTGTCCAAGTGATCTGAAATATCAAGCTTGACACTTCTGTATAACAAACCATGCTGGCCAACACTGGTTAACATGAAAACCGCATATTATGCGCTTTGATTGCAAGTGAATGGCGGAGAATGAGCAGTTCTGCAAGGAAAAGTTCGATGCAAATGACATGTCATATCCGCAGCCAGCAATCTATTCAACCCTCTCGTGTCAAAGTGTCACCACCCTTTCAATACGAAATTCCAATACAAATAAAGTTGCCGGATTTGTTTCATCCCATGCTGCTGTGCTCCTGATTGAAAGGTACAACAGGTTCATGCTATTTGGCCAATCCTATGCACTTCATTTAGATATGGGCTTTCCAAGAATCCCTATCCAGGACAATACCAGCATCACAACCCGCCACAGGCATAGGGCCTCATTTGGAACCCGGATCTCATGTTGGTCCACCATGAGAGAATCTAGGTCCTCCACTAGAGAGGTTAGAACAAGGGTACCTTTTTTTTCTGTAGTCTATTTTAGTAGGGGAACCCTCCCCAAAAAATGGGGGATAAAAAGGGCACCCAGCTGGGGGACCTAGGAGAAGGTTCATCCACTCACGCAGCTCTGCAGCCAAGAAACACGGAACCACCTGAGCTTGCAAGCGGAAAAGTTAGCCGATCCGCCCCGGCCGTTTGTGGTGAGAGCGGGGATTGATTCCCGATATCATTCGCCTAATGGCAGATGCTTGGCGATAATGGCAAGCGCTTTCTTGTGAGGTTGCTATCGTTGAAGCCTCCATACAATTGTCAAGGCCAACCGATTATATGTTTTCAATGAATGGTTTCCAATATGGGAACAAAGGGCGTTGCTTGTTGCGAGTTGGTTTTAGAGGGAGCACCTCCACTGAAAATGGGACAAGGGCAAATCCATTGGGAAATGCTGGCCCCATCGAAACGTCAAACGCATTGCCGCATTCAACAAAGAAAGGCAGAAGCAAATAGTGTCAAACCGGGTACTAGTGCAACGGGAGGGGGGAATGTGGGAGGTTTCCTTCCGGATCGCAGATACGGCTTGAGACCCTACCGCCCAAAGATGGGTTCAATATGTGCGGGGACCCACTTTCTTTCCAAGTTCCCTTGACAGTTTCTGGCCCAAAAGGATGCCGACTTTTTTAGACCGGCACGTTTGTCCCTACCTGTAACTGGAATTTATAAGGCCCCCCTTTAACCACAGAGTATTTCTTTTTGCCAATCAAGGGAAATCGTGGGAAACAAGTATTGGATGGACCCTTTTATCAATGTGAACCCCTACCTCTAATTTATTTTTGCGCACCAAGCGTTGGCGACAATCATGGAACTCGGTTGCTTTCTGCTCCCCTGCTAAAAGTGTTTAACTTTTAGTGGTTTAATACGCAAAAACCCATTAGTTGGCAAAAAGTTAAAGTCCTAACATCCCTTGGCAAAATGCACCAAAGTTAAGGATTCCCAGGACAAACCAGATTTCCCATCCCCTCAAGGTTTCCAACCTCCAACTTCCCAAAATTATCCGTGTGACATCATTTTGGGGGGAAGCTTATAGGAGGCATTTTTCCAGACCATCGATAGGGCGCCCCGCTGCTTGGTGAGCTGCTCGTTCAGCTCTTCCAAGGCCCTGCCCAAACTGTCCCGGGATCCCCAAAAATCGCCCAAGCTGACGTTGAATGTTGACCCCAGATTCATAAACCCCTGTTTTGTTTGTTTGTTTTTTTAATGGGGCTGTCCCTGGCTTTAGTGGGAATTTATCACTTTTGGAGGGAACCCCCCCCCATATTCATAGACAGTGGTTTATTCATCCGGGGTCAACACTAGTGGGGAACCCAGGGGTGGATCCCCTGTACTTGGACCTGTACCAACAAGGTTACGACGATTTGAAGCTTTAAACACCGACAAACATGAGTATCCATCCTCTTGGGATGTCCATTGGCCGAAATCCGACATCCAGAATTCGGCAGACAGCGTAAGGGGACAAATGGCCAGCATCCGTTCAAGGGTCCTCAAGGCACCGGACAAGGCTCCATCAAAACGGCCAGCCGCTTCAACACATGGTCCTTACCTTGAGGACGGGTCCCACTCGGCCCCAGGACTCGGCTCCTGTCTCGTCCCAAAGGGCGGAATCAAAGCTGTGATCTAAGCGGTGTGTGTGTGTGTGTCGTCACGAAGCTGCAACGCCTGTCCAACACGTGAACAACAACCACCTTCCACCTTATGAATCAGACCATTGATGCCTTTCGCCACAAGTCAAAAATCAGCAACGATGAAGTGAGGCTGAGGCTGGAAAACGTATCCTCAAGTCAGAAGCCTTCATCATGGGCCCAAGCTCGCTGTACCCGCCAGTTCGTTGAGATCACCAAAACTTCACTGTGCTCAAGGTAAGAGGCACAAACACACACACACACAAACAAAAACAAACACACACGCACACAAACAAAAACAAACACACACACACAAACAAAAACAACCACACACACAAACACAAAC